TCACTGGATAGAAATGGATAACAGAAGTAAACATATGTCACTGGATAGAAATGGATAACAGAAGTAAACATATGTCACTGGATAGAAATAGGTAACAGAAGTAAACATATATCACTGGATAGAAATGGGTAGCAAAATGTGATAAAAAAGAAAAAACATTTTCAAAACAGATATGAAAATGAGATCCGGAGCGTTTTATTAAGTTATGACTAACAGATAAAGCCGTGAGTGCTAAAACATAGAAAGACTTATAATGCTTCATACACCTCGGTCTTAATTATTCTTGGTACATAACAGAAAAACATATTAACGTAGGTTTATATTTTACTGTATTGTTAAAAGCCACGGTTCATAGAAACACACACACACACACACTTTGTTTCGTTACTGTTCGTTTGTATGGTAAAGAATATTTATCCAGTTTCCCTCCACAATGCTACACAATATACATAATTCACAGCCACGAAACAAAATGTATACAGTATATTTACAATTTAAAGAAATATATACATCGTTATATTCTATATTATATGTGCTGAATCTCAGGATGTTTGATCGAGACCCGAGCACAAACACACACCTAATCCACTCTTCAAGTTCTTCTGCTTGTTTAGGGTACTTTTATTATTGATTCATCGCATTCTGTTTCTACGTGCTCTTCAACACAGTCAAACTTGCTGAGTAATGTTATGTTTTACACTTTGGCTGACTGGTTTGTGTTTTTAAATTACCTGCACATGATCTATCACCTAAACGTTTAGTTACAGTTCCTGCTCACATTGTAGGATTTCATGAAATACTTTAATTATCTCAGCAAAGTGACTTCTTCGGAGTTTCTTACTTAAAACATTTCCTGCACCGAAGCTAGAAAGTTCCAGACAGCTAACATATCATCAAATTCCAAAATGCGTGCGACGCACGAGCTGATCCATTGGTCGGCGCCAGGCGTCTTATCATTCACTATTCGGACTGGACAGATCGGAAGGAGTTGGCGGTAGATGCGTTGTGTGCAGTGGGTCCTCTCCGGGCCCAAGGTAAGGTGGCGGCGGCGGCATAGCAGAAACGGGAGGGCCCATGGTTACAGGGACCTGTTGGGTTGGATCGTTATGCGGGTCGCTGCCGTAACCATGCATCTGTAAACCACACAGAGAAAAGAAAAATTAAATCTTAAATACATTAAATGCAAAGCTTGAGAAATCACAAATTGACCCAATGATTTAGTGCATTTCAAATGACACGTCTAATATTGTCCATTTCTTTAGTTATTTATCTCTTTTACGTTGCTAAGTGACAGGTTTTCTTAGCAACTAAAAAGCCAATCAGACTAAGATATCGTTGTTGTTGTTTTAGCTACTAAATGGGATAAGTACGCTCTTGCATCAAGGGGAATCGAATCCCGGATTTTAACATTATAAGTCCACAAACTTATCCCTAACCCACCGGGGGGACGACTAAGATACTGGCTTTAGCGGTATGATACCAATTCTGTTGATCGAATCAACGTCACGCATGAAACACAACCACGTATTTTACGTGAGAAAAGTATAGGAATGAATGTAAAAAGTAAAATCCTTCACATTTTAGTGAATAAATTAACATAGCATGTGATCTATCACCTGGTGATGCAGTTTCATGTTTATTATTTCAAAAACAGATCATGCTATTTACAGTCAGACTATTTTGTCTGTAAAAACAGTGTACAAAATGTAATCATAAAGGAAAAAAAAAATGAAGATGTACATCAGTACATGACTTGTGAATGTTCTTAAATAAGTTTTAGTAACATGAGCACGGATGGTATTCTGCCAATATATCTTTTTTTCTATGGTCAAGTTCTCGAAGATCTCATTCACTCTTCCCTCCATTATACCATACAAGTCTGGAAAAGAGAGAGAAATACAGCTTTCAAATGTTGGTGTACTTATGACCTAAAATGTAAAACTCGTTTATTAGATAAGGCAATATGTACAGCTTTATTAAAACATGAAACTCCTGACAAAAACTGTGTCTGCTACATCAAGACAAGAAGGAAGTCTGGTTTAAAAGCACTTCTCTTTTCTCTTCTGCAACGGTCTGTGTAATGTATTATGACCCGAAGGAGGTCGTGGGAAGCATTAGAAAGTGTAGAACTTAAGTTAAGTACAGCTGCTACCGAAAGCCCCCCAAATTCTGTCTGATCTGCTTTCTGTCTGTGTTTCTCCTCTACAGAAATATGTATATACCACTCAAACAGCGCCCTTATCCCCCGAACTATCACCGTTTAAGGCCGGTGTTTGATGTGCATAGTTTTAGCTGGTGCAATCTGTAACTGTATAGATGCTGGCAAAATAAACGAGCAGAAGCTTAGCGACGAAGAAGTAAAAACGTTTTCCTAAAATCATGTGTGAGATCATAATTGCACAGTGACTCAAGATCAACTATGGGTGTTATCTTTAGAATGTTGCATAGATCAAAAACTCCATACGGGATTCTGTGATGATATTTAGTAGGACTCTCTACTTGTCACTTCACTCAAGGTGCAAACCCCTCATAGCCAGATATGAAAAAACAGCTTTATTCGATGCAAATCAATAGAGAGAAATAGTACGAATAATGAATGAGTAAAGTAATATATAAAATACTGCTCAGCACAAAAGAAATGTAGGACACTTGAATGCGTGGTCAATGGCCCAAACTTTCTACCAACAGAGGACATTAGAGTGATTCGCCTTTACACCTACATTGACTACGTGAGTTAATCTTATTGAATGGTGAAAACCACAAAACTATGAAATGCTCTCCGTGCATTTCATTTTACCGACGCTTACTTTAACGTTCTCTAACAGCGAAGGTAACTTGCTTTAACGTTTTCTAACAGTGAAGGTAACATGTTTTAACGTTTTCTAACAATGAAAGTAATTTGTTTTAACGTTTTCTAACAGTGAAGGTAACATGTTTTAACGTTTTCTAACAGTGAAGGTAATTTGTTTTAACGTTTTCTAACAGTGAAGGTAATTTGTTTTAACGTTTTCTAACAGTGAAGGTAATTTGTTTTAACGTTTTCTAACAGTGAAGGTAATTTATTTTAAATATCAAAACAAAATAAACTGAAGCAGTCTGAAATAAAAATTTTTCTTTGTTTATTTTGCTTAAGCAAGATGACATCAACAATGAAATAGTTCTATTTTCTTGACTCTCACTATAGAAATATTACACAGATAGATAAGATACTCACCTCTCATTTCGAGGTTCAGAACATTTTTTTTATAACCCTAAAAATAAAGAATAAACTAAGCTACAGAGATAGATGTCCACCTTTAAAACGGTTCAAGTTTTGTCCACCATCAAAATTGGATACCGTTTAAAAGTAACAATGCATTCTATCGAATTTATTTTTGACCTCCTCGACATCTGAATTTAGTTGTTTTTTTCTGATCTTCTATTGAAACTTTTGGATAAATGGATGTTAAAGCACAGTATGCAGCGTTATTGTATCACTAAAACCCTGTTTAAAAGTTAAAGGCCACTGATACAGTGTTACATTAAGAATGAGGAAATCATGAAGTCGGATGTTGGTTGTTCCGTAAAACAAGAAGCTACACATTTGTTTTTCAAATAATTCTACTATGAAATATACATTTTTTTTGCTGCTCTCGTAACAGTAATCCTACAATAGACATAAACACAGTTTCGTTACAGATCAACTTGTGTATAATATATCATTAAAAACTTTATTAAACATCACCCTGGTAATACCATGTCGGAACCCTATCCCACCGAAATGCTATGTTTATGTCATATTAATCATTAATTATATTTCATTTTCTTAGATATTGACCCTACATAACCAGTACACATTTACTACAACATTGCATGCATGACTTGAATCCTCTTTGCTATTGACCACGAAGCAAAAAACATGTAAATGAAATGTAACGTCTAACAGTGATTAGTTTCATATGATTAGATACATACACATACTGGCATTACACATGCAAGGACCAGTACCGCATACGGTTGAAATGGTCGGTTATGCCACGGGCGGACTCTAATCCGTACAAGTTTTGTGTTTGAACATAATAATTGCTTTTATTAAGTCAATAATCTATGGCTAGGCGAAGAGCCGCCGTCAGCAAGCTGCTGGTCTCAGGAGCCCATCAATGTTTGGTTTCTTTACCAAAACCTGAAGCCAAACTCGACCGGATTAATTCGATTGTTGACACAGCCAACTCCTGCAGACGTAACTATTTTATTAGCTTTCCCTTCTTCTGACAAAGATTGGATTTCCACTTCCTCTTGTAGATAACCAACACCTATGGAAAACCCAGCGGTAAATCTTATATACAAAATATCATTGGGATTTGACACCGTCACTTGTTATATGATTGTTGACCTGAGAAAAAAAAGCTTGGTTCTGCCATGTTCCCGACTATATCCTATCATCAGAGAGGGATAGAGCAAACAGAATCTCAGAAACTCTAAAAAAAGGAGATATCCATGTGATACATGGACTTACGAAAAGTATCTAGTAATAAATCAGTGTTAGGAAAAAAAACACGTACAAG